GTTTTAATAAAACTGATATTGTTGTCTTCATAAATTGGTTATGTTTTTGTTTTAATATTTTAATACACTGTAGTTTTAATAAATTGATAGTTGTGTTTGTTTTAATACATTTGTTTTGATTAAAATATAGATCTATATTTTGTTGAGCTTTTTTATACTTTCGATGGCCTACACTACATGAAGATCTAACCAGTTGTAGTAGAAGGTCGCGTCAGAGGTTGCACAAACAGCTTTTGACCCTATGACGTCAGACATTGATTAATCAATCAGTGTTAACCTTTCTACTGGTTTACCCACAGTTCCATGCATCGCACGCCAAGAAATTGCTGTAACAGATGGCTTCATTGACTAATCTCTCATGCCATCCAGAACGCAGATTATATAAAAACTCTTCCAGATCCTAGTGTAGTACAGACAAATAAAACGAAATAGGATCTGTGTTTTAATCAGATTGGTGTTATTATTTCATCATGAAGTTAATCAAATTGATGAAGCACTTCAAAGAAAAACATTTAAATGTTAATTAGAATGATTTAAGTAAGTGTTAAATCATATATGTACAAAACCATCAAGGAAAAAATTTAAAAGAAATGTTAAATCCGAAACTCAACTGTTCAGTCACAAAGCAAATGATTTATTAAAAGATTAGATCACTATCAGATCACTGACAGGGCATTTTCTTATCAAGCTCCATGGACTTTATTAAATTCAAACTATGATATAAGCTTAAGTATTGTTAAGAAGAAAGAAAACCTGCAATACGCTCAAACGCTCTCGAAAGAATTCTTGAATGAAAAATGGTCATCTCATGTGAAAATATACACAGACGGATCTCACGATCCAAACACAAACAAAACTGCGTTGGATGTCAAAATTACCGAATATAATGTTTATATATCAAAAAGGTTACCAGATGGCCAAGAAAGGAAACCTCCAATTCTACATTTTATTAAAGATACATTATGGGAGATAAGATAAAAGGGCTGGCAGTTCTCACTATAATAGTTAAAAACTAGATACTGTAAAAGCAATTTGCTGAAAATTTCAGTCAAATTGATCCACTCTTTGAATTTTGGGTCTAGCCTCGATCATCATTACTAAAGTCGGTACAATAAAAAACATAGTCTCGATTATCCATTTTTATATTTAATTATCAATAAGCGTCAAGCAGCAGATAGGATTCTAACCAAGAAAATATCGCAGGCCAGCGTTGACATCGAGAGTTGATTATGGTCTGGATAAGTTAATTAATGTCTAATTAATAATTAAGATAACATTTCAGGCCTCAAGGAAAGACCTGCAATTGGCAGATTTAGCTCTTGCATAATGTATGTTTAACCGTATATTGTATAAGGAGGCTGCTCACTTTGATCACTTTGAAAATTCTTGAGAACGCTCTAAAGGCTAAAGTTAATATCTGATTGACTAATTTATACACTGTGTTTACGGTCATGAGACGATGAAGCCTATTGATTTTCAACAATGCCAGAGTTATGGTCCTTGATCACACGCTAGAGACTTAAGTTAATATAAATTTATACACAGTCTTTAAGGTTATGAGACAAACAATGGAAAGAAATTCTAATGATTTCTGATAATTACTTAATGGGTTGTTACTCGTAATCAGATTTTAGTGTGTTGCAAATAAGTCATGGGATGAATCCCATGGCCGTATAAATAACAGACCTCACCAGTCACCGAATTCAATCCGGCCTTGTCGATATCGAAGCCTTGGTGGCAATGTGGGCCAGACTTCGCACCTATACCATCTCTCCTTGGCGATACCTTTAGTACTTGTACAAGTTGTAGTAGCAATATGCCTTTGGATGGAGCCTATATGGTCATGAATACTACCTTGGACACTGCTACCCATAAGGCACTTCTGCACCTTTAACACTAAGAAAATGGAAGCGTTTAGGTCTCATAATCGCTAACCCGTCTCCAACCTATGCCAGACGAACCTCTTGTTTCCCTTGTCTCGCAAGTTTCCTAGGAAACACTTCTCTGCGATATCATCCTAGTAACAGCGGAAATGAAATTTAAGGTCCTACTGTTCTGCACCGACTGGGCACAATATTGAATTCCGACTGCCAAGGGATCTTTTACGTGCACACCAATGTGTACACGGGACCTAGAAAATGACGACACTTCTATAGCCGGTCTTACTATAAGACCAAACAAAACAAATGTATTTTACATAGATTATATAATGTGGTTTAATGGATAGAAGAAAACTTTCTAATTTGCGCTTTCCATGTGTCATTCTTTACCCTGCAAATAAATGTATTCGAACAACACTTTTATCATCATTTTAGAAATTTTTAAACTACAATATCATGAAAGTTGGATCCCTGAAAGGCCTCAGGGGTGGGCAAATTGGCGCCATAAATTTTTCACAAGTTGATTTCCTTTATTTTGTTAATGTAGAATGGTAATGAACTGCTCTTTTCATTTTCTTTGTTTTATTTGTTTCGTTTGAATTTGATTTATCAGTTTAGTTTTTGATTGTTTAATTTTTGTTAATGAAGTTGATTCTTTTAAACTTCGTTTTTATTTTTGAACTCTACTTGGTGTAGGTGTTCATCAGGTAATACCTCGACTGAGTTCAATATAGGGATTAGCCGGTTGATTTGTTGGATATAAACCTTTGAATAATAGCGCCTAACAGGCAGCTGTGTTTAATTATGTTCTCCTGATTTTGATTGTTTTTGTGTGTTTGAAGTATATGTTTGTGATATGCGCTTAGAAACACTTCACGTGTAATGAAGCGCTATATAAATCGAACAATAATAATTATCAGTCAAAAAATGGTTCACTTGGCAGCAACTGCAGAAGATAACGGTCTATGGTCAAAACAAGCTAGTGCCACCTATATCTTTGCTAAAATCTTTTGATGGGACTCTTTTTAATCTGACCGAATACAAGCTGGGATATTATCTTTTAACATTTTTTTTTTCTTTAATTAAATGTTCAATAATCAATCTGATTACCCACTAAATTTTAGAGTGGATTAAGCCCTGAATGATTATGCATTGTCTGAAAAAAGTTACTGCCAATCAGTGTCTTTAATATACTATAATACTGGTCTAGTTTACCCGCATAATAGTAATCTTCATCGATTAACTTCTAAATAGATTGATCTAATGTGTATGATTATTGATTAGTTAGCAGTACTTTATTCTAATACATTGTTATGTTCTTGCCTTTTATTTCTATAAAACAGTAATCGACCACTAACATCTCCAGCTATATGTGATTGAACTGCATTTATAAGCTTACATTTGAGTGTATAGTAATGAACAACAATTCTATCTCTCATAATCACTTCAATCTTCAACTTGATCATTTTAATTAGACCATCATGTTACTCTACCCCCAATATCTTTCTAGTCATTGCAGTTATTAGATTTATTAAGTTCGCCAGTATTGTCAACATTTGATTTCATATTTTGTCCTCCAATAAGAATAGATCAAATTGTGATATTTCGAACAGTGACACTAATAAATGGTCATATTGAATGCTCATTTTAATATTTGAATATTCCAAGTCATTGTTTAAATGCTATTCGAATATAAGATTCAATTCAAATAATGAATTTTGAGGGGCACAATTTCCGTATTCTATAAATCTTAGTTTCCTTATCTGTTAAGTGATTAATTTTTGAATACAGTTTCCTACAAAAATATAGGGTATTTGTATGTTTCATCTGCACATTGAATCATGAGAACAAAACAAACATTTTTATATACAGCAGTCTATGGTTTAGATGGGGTTTAATGTCCACTCCACACACACTAGGTCATTTCGGGACCGGGTAATCGAAACCGCGCCAGTTGACCCACTGACAGACCTTATACAGCGTGCACATGCTAACCATTCGGCCATCCAACCCCCCTATCATGAACATAAATACTGTGTATGAATTTAAATGTAATGAAAAGATAACTTTAGCAGCATTTTGAGAATCCACGGGTTTATTCAAAGTGGTCAAAAACAATAACTCCAACTAAATACTGAAAATTGTTGAAAATCAAATGTATCTAATGTAACTCCAGTCGCGATATATAGCACTACAGACAATGCAAGTAAAACAAAAAAGACAATCATCCTTTTTGTTCATCTACAAAAATTGTGTACAAAACATCGGAAGGGCAATAAGTGTGGTTTGATGGTTGAAAGCGAGACATTAGTAATGTATCGAAACAACACGAGGGACTTCAGTCCCGAGTTCTTGTTTCAATATATTACGCAAGATCTTAAGCTCAAGACAATTAAACAACATAAAATACAGACACTCACACACGCTTGGCACATTGCCCGTACCATTATTTGAAATAATGGTATGCCGACACCAAAGTCCCACGTCACACCTGTATTTTAACTGTCAATAACCATCGAAAATCTTGATCAAATAAATAGCACATATATACATTCTTAGTCTACAAAAATACAAAAGTTGTGAATAACATTTTTTTAAACAAGGCTAGTAACTACATAAATATCTATTTGACATTCACATAAATCTCTTCAATTTCATCCAAATCATTCAAACTTTTCTTATTTTGTGGATGAAATTTTTAAACAAGGGCAACAACTCCATAAATATTGATCAAATATTCTTAAATATCAAATAAAGACGGCACATGTTTAAGGTATAACAATAAACTTCTGCAGGTGTCATCCAATTCCGCCAAAAATAGTCCACAATAACTGTGAATGGATAGACTGACCAACTGTCTAATTACCTTAGTCCCAAAATAACCAAATAGGGTAAGCTTATTTAATTTATTGGATGTCAAACCCAATACTATTTCATTCCACAATTATACTCTGAAGTACTAAAATGAACTTAATTCAGAGATTTTTTTAGCATTCTTGCTGTTTCTGATTCCCTAAAGAAGTAAACGGCTAGGAGATTGCCCAAAATATCAGCAATCACTGGATCAGCGTATCTTAAACCTAGAAAATACAACATCTACATCTCTAATCTTACACTCACCTTTACACTGGTCACCAGAGTTGAGATTTATTAAACATCTGTTATCACATAATTTGTAACCTACGAGCCTTCACTCTTGACAGTAAGCTTGTAAACACTTGTATTTCTGTTAAAACAAGCCAACAGTGAGGCTGATGTCCCCCGCCGAAAAGGAAAATAATTAGAGGACACATATAAATTTATCACAAATTATCTTTTACAAAGTATTGAACAATCAAACAGTATATCTTTACTTATAGTCTAACAATCAAAGTAGGAGAGTTATTGTTTTCCAAAGTCTCGACCAATCAAATTGCGTATCGCTCTGCTTACCCTGAGCAGAAAATGCTCATTATCAAACTTAGTCAAGGTATTACTGTAATGAAACTATACACCAAGTTTCATCAATCTCACTTAATTAGAACTAAAGTTATCGTGTCCCAAAGCATCAACCAATCAAATTGCTTATCTCTGCTTACCCTAAGCGGAAAATGCTCATCTTCGAACTCCATCAAGGCATTGACCTAATCAACACATACACCAAGTTTGAACATTCTAGCTCAATTAGGAAGAGAGTTATCGTGCCCCAAAGTATCAACCAATCAAATTGCTGCTTACCCTGAGCAGAAAATGCTCATTATCAAACTTAGTCAAGGTATTACTGTAATGAAACTATACACCAAGTTTCATCAATCTCACTTAATTAGAACTAAAGTTATCGTGTCCCAAAGCATCAACCAATCAAATTGCTTATCTCTGCTTACCCTAAGCGGAAAATGCTCATCTTCGAACTCCATCAAGGCATTGACCTAATCAACACATACACCAAGTTTGAACATTCTAGCTCAATTAGGAAGAGAGTTATCGTGCCCCAAAGTATCAACCAATCAAATTGCTTATCTCTGCTTACCCTAAGCGGAAAATGCTCATCTTCGAACTCCATCAAGGCATTGACCTAATAAACACATACACCAAGTTTGAACATTCTAGCTCAATTAAAAGTTATCGTGTCCCAAAGCATCAACCAATCAAATTGCTTATCTCTGCTTACCCTAAGCGGAAAATGCTCATCTTCGAACTCCATCAAGGCATTGACCTAATCAACACATACACCAAGTTTGAACATTCTAGCCCAATTAGGAAGAGAGTTATCGTGTCCCAAAGCATCAACCAATCAAATTGCTTATCTCTGCTTACCCTAAGCGGAAAATGCTCATCTTCGAACTCCATCAAGGCATTGACCTAATCAACACATACACCAAGTTTGAACATTCTAGCCCAATTAGGAAGAGAGTTATCGTGTCCCAAAGCATCAACCAATCAAATTGCTTATCTCTGCTTACCCTAAGCGGAAAATGCTCATCTTCGAACTCCATCAAGGCATTGACCTAATAAACACATACACCAAGTTTGAACATTCTAGCTCAATTAGGAAGAGAGTTATTGTGTCCCAAAAAGTGTGACGGACAGACAGACGGACAGACAGACGGACGAACCCATTTTAATAGTCCCCTGCTTTCTTCGAAAGGCGGGGGACAAAAAAAAGATAAAGATGATCATTATTACAAAATCAGCAATCAGACCAATTAAATAACTGTGAGCCAACTATTTCAGAGTATTATAATATATGGTGATCTGGTGTTGGTAACTGGATACTATAGGTAAGAATTTAAGTAGCCCATGCATAAGCAAAATAAGTCCCTGTAAAAACAAAGTTATAAATCTGAATAAAGTCCCAATCCTTCAAGTACCTCTAGATTTTTGAGTTTTTTAATCTTTAATGCCTATTAGGAAACAGATTCCAAAAGTGGGATTATTAATTGTTATTATACATTTCATATTTTACACCTTGAAACGCCAGTTCTGGGTGGTCTGGCTCAAATTGATCAGCACTAAAAATTCACTTGGCCGCTACTATCACTGAAAGGGATGACATTGGGGCGAGTTAAATTCTGCAAATTAAATTCTAAAACAATTAAGGAATAAAATAAATGTGTTTGAAGTAGCCTACTGGATAAAAAATATTTCCTATTTAGTGTAAATGGGTATTGGTACTGTACGCGACGATGTAAATGAGTAGAAGGCACCAATTCTGCCCGGATCAGTTTGTGTTACTAAACAACGCACGCTTTCTCGAAGCTGACATAAACGTATAGGCTACACATGAACTTAAAGGTCAGTCATCTTCTACAGAGCTAAAAGAAGGCTTTCGCATTACCGCTGTGAAAGAGATTGGGTCTGGCTGTCAATTGCAATATTTGAGTAGGCCTACGGTACCCCCAATTTAAGCTGAATGTGACAAGATGACATCACATTACCATGCCCTTCAGCCAACACCTTGCTTGAACACCACCCACTAGATCAAAAAGAAATAATTATATTCATGTATCCAGACATTTCACTACAGACTAGCTGACAAATACAATTTAATACAAAAAGACTATAGATCTAATTAATTACCTTATTGACTTGGCCAACCAATTTATGGAATATCAGCAATGGTGATTTGAGAATGAATGGAGAGCATTCAGATCATAAATGAAGTCATAAAACTGTGCCCCATACAAAAATCTAAAATAAATGATGTAAATTTATGTGACTTACATAAACTTTCGACCTGCATTGCTACAATATTGCTATACTATACTTGGTAAATTTGTTTTTTTAACAGTCTGAAACATCAGCTGACTTTACGTGACTTAAAATAGCAATGTAGATCTAATGATTACTAGGATTTCTACAACACTAGATTCTTACATTATTATTATAATCTCACAAGCTATGGTTACCATAAAGACACGTGACCACTATAAATATAGTTTCCATTCGACCAAAAACTGGAAATCTACTCTCCAAAGACTGCCGATTTTAGCAAATATGTCAATCGGGAGACTTCGGTTAGTCTGTGTTTGTGGGTCGGACAATATATGCGCACTGAAGTTAGCTGTCCATAGTATATATAGCCAATAATCGCAACCAGTGATAAAAATATAAGTCTAGTGGGCGAACTTGACAATATCGAGCAATGGCAGCAAGTGGCAAGTGCCAAAGTGGAGTCGCATATTCCTGGTAGAGTCATGACCAAACGAATCAGCAGTAAATATTCGTTTGGCCACAACTATCACTGAGAGGATGACAACGTTGCGATTTAATTAGCTCTCAATATTTTTTTTTTTCTTCTGCAAATTAAATTTTAAATTTTTTTCTAAAATTAATAATAAAAAAAGGGTGTTAGAAGTAGATCTTGCAAAAAAAAATATTTTCTATATAAATGGGCACATAAAATAGTACGCGAAGGTGTAAAATGAGTAAAAGTCACCAATTCTGCCGGGGCTAGTTGTGTAACTGCATCTCGATGAAAACAATGCACGTATGATTTGACGTCACACGTAGACATATACTGCACAAGACCTTAAAGGTAGGTGATTTTGAACTGAGTTAAAAGAAGGATTTCGCGTTACCGTTATGAAACAAATTGGGTCGGGACATGAGAAAAATACCATAAACGAAAGTGGTACCATGAGTATTAATATTGCTCAGATTTGTTAAATAAAAAATTGTAACATTTGTGAAAATAAATAGAGCATGCGCTGTCTGTCTACGGCTATTGGAAGTAGCAGATCTCAACTCAATCTGTTTCACAGAGAATTACAAGTCTTCTCTAATATCTCTGTAAAAGACGACTGCCTTTAACACGTGCCGTCACAGCACGCGGCATCAATCATTGGCTGAATGGCGCGTGCATTGTTTACATAAGACGTTACTGCTTCAGGCGGAATGCTGCCTTTTAGTCATTTTAATACCCATTTACACTAAATAGGAACTAATTTTTACCTACAAATACGTCAAACGTCTTTATTTATTTTTCTAATACATCAAAAAAAGGTTTTACACTTTAATTTGTCAGTAGAAAAAAGTTAATATTTGAGACTCATTAAGTCGCATTGATGTCATCCTTATCAGTGATTGTAGAGGTCTAGCGAATATTCACTGCTGCTCAGTGTGATCTCAACTTTCAATAGACGTAGACAGACAGCGAAATTCTCGTATTATGACGAAAGGGGGGGGGGGGATTGCTTCAAATAGGCGAACTGCATTACTGTCTCGAGTTTTCCCAAAACATGGATCCCCCTTGTCAGTGATATAGGGTGGAGGTCCTGGCAAGGAAACGTCTCTAGTTGTTCGGTCCGTATCAGTCATTGTTTTTGGTTTTTTTAGGGCAAGCGACCACTCTCGAGTGCCTGCCGCTCACCTGAATGTCGACCGAGGGGAGTTTTTTTCCCTCCCCTCAAAATTGAAAATCGCTCTCCTTTACAAAGTCATTGGGGGTTTATTATCATTTATGAAACCAGGAATGACTCCACTTCCCATACACACAACTATATATCACTCTCCTTAATTTCTAAATCACTATTTTTATCGAAACTGGGAGAGCTTTCTCAAGGGAGCAATTTTTTTCAATTTGTTGATTGAGGGGAGCTTTTTTCGACTCTCCTGTGAAATACAAACACAAGTTTGCGTGCACATAAAAGAACCATTGACAGTCATGGTGATTAACAAAACAATCTCACAATCGGAATTATTTTTCCTTTGGATCGTTTATCGTTCAAAAAGATGGCGTATCTTAATGATAGAGATAAAGTAAGATGTTTATTGCATCAAGACGCCCACTAAGGACAGCATGCATACATATACACGTACACTTAAACATACTCATATACATTTGATAATGCATTACATAGAAAACACACAGGTCTACATATACATACAAGTAATACATCCATACAAACAGTAGTACATGTATATCTAAAGAGTTTCAGCCCACATGTAGTCAAAAGCCAAAAACACATATAAAGCCACTGCCTTGGCAATCGATTTTGGTGGGTCAAACAGATTAATAAAATTGTAGGAAATCTCAGGATTTGCTGAGAAGGCTGGGTGTATGGGCTTCACGTAGTTCTTCATACTTGCTACACAGTTTAGCAAAAAAATGTTGCTCGTTTTTGATCGAGTTTAAGTTACAAAATTTGCATAAGCGCTGATCAGCAGCAATTGTTCCGAAAACTTTGTTTTATAATTAATTTTAATATTTTACTTATTTAGAATTGGAGCAGAGAATTATCTTTTCCTTATTGAGTTTAATTATGCCCCTTGGAGCTTACGTCATTTTTTCTTTATTAAGGCTTGAGATAAAAACTCTTCGGGTATTTAATTTATCATATTTCCATTTAATGTTTACTTTTAGTAGCAAATGCAGAGTATGCGACATGATGTAAATTTTGGTGTTGAAGTCAGCGTAATAATAGCGATTGTGTATCAAGACAGTGTTATATCATGGACCTTATAATATCATTGAGCACTCGGCAAACCTCGGCAGATTCCGGTACCCTACATCTAGCCTCGGCTGTATGACAGTAAGTGATATGTACCTACGCCTATACATTTGCGATGCGGCACCGGTTTACTTATAAGGGAAACTTGCACGCGTTTAGAAAGAAGTTCTCAAAATTGCGTCGTTCGAAGAGTGTGTAGAATTTTCAGTGCTAATTTGTCCTTGTCTAAAGAAAATCGGATAAACTTGAAAAAAAACCCAGCTTCAAACTTTGAAAATTTTGTAAGATAAAACATTCTTCAAATACGTCGTCATCAATCACGTCATTGGTCGTCATGAACAACGCCATTGTAATCCGGGAACTTGAAAGTATATAGTTCTAATGGCGGACTTTGTCATACAGCCGAGATTAGATGTAGGGTACTGGAATCTGTTGAGGTTTGCCGAGTGATCATTGAGAGATCGGTGTACTAGTGAATAATCTTCTTGATGCATATAAATATATAGTTAAGAAAATTTAGTAGTCGTAAAATGTTGTACTGGTAGATTTAAGTAATATTTAGATTTGAACAATATTTTAAACAAAACCCGGTAAAATAAATTAACGCAAGGGAGCTAACTCCATTTTATAGCGCGAGATCTCAGCTGAGTTGTTTCCCATGTATTATGTACTTCGCTCTTGTAATTAATAATATATTTGATATACTTTCTTATGATTGTCCATTCTATTTTAAGAATATATATCGATATATAAATATCACTTTCTTCTATATGGCATTGCATGATCTACAATACAATAATAACAACAACCAAGCGTCTTTTTTTCGATACTGTATATATAGAGTGCATATTACTGAAACTTTTATCCAGTGATTACGTTTCTAGTGTAAGGAAAGATTTGTAATACCGGTATAAGAATCTTCAATGAAAAAAATGGAATTGAACAGTTAGAAGGTTTAATGGATCCATGTGATTTAAAGCGTCGACACATGGATCCAAAATTTTCACAGTCTACAACAGAATACAATAATAATAAATAATAATAATAATAGCTTTATTTCCAATCAAGGGTCCACAGGGGACATGGTACAGAGCAAACAAAGAGAGAAAACCCAAATGACAGTCAAGTAAGAAAATATAATAGTATACATAGCTCCCAACAGGGGAGATACACATATAAGTACCTTATGCACTAAGGCTTCATGCCGAAAAAAAAACGGCTCATGAGAACATTATTATTAATCATGAAAGGGAGATAAATCCACTTAACTCTTAATGTTACAGATCAATATTAAGCATTACAGAACAGCTGTATTCATCCGCAAAAAAATAGTACCTAAAATTCATGTACATTATAAAGGTTTAAACGTCAAATGAGGTCAAATGAATAGAGACGTCTTTAATATATACTAAATATTCGTATCATCCCAAATCGACAATAAAACAATGAGAAAAAGGAAAATCTAAGTAATGGCAATCTAATTAACATAAAATTTACGACATAATGGATTCTTCAATGTTTTGATGGTGATCATGAAGAAAATAGGCCTACATCTGTTCTCAGGAATCCGATAAGATTTTCAAAAAAAAGATCAGTAGAATTATAGATTGTTATTCCACAAAGTCGAAAGGTATGTTAGATTTTTCATTCAGTCAAGTTAGAGCGAGTTTATTGCCGTACTTTGAGCTCCAAACCCGATAGAAATGAAGGCGGAAGTGGCCATAATAGTTTTAGAGATCACTACGTGATGGCACTCCTGCGTCGCGACAAACGGGGCCGATTTGTCTAGTGAGCCAAGCCCATGTTCCCTCTAGGCTACCCAACAGGAATATTAATTTTTGTATCGAACCCTCTCTATTTCTTAGTGATGCGTGGTCGAAGTGCGGTCATAGTTTTCTTATGATCTCTATTTTTAACAGAATATAAACAGTCAGGGGAGTTCGTAATATAGGATTAGAAATGAAATATGTACGTAATTTGCTGTTATTAGAGAGTTAAAGGATAATATGTAGCAGACGGGGTTAAATTTGGATTCTAGGGATTTCTTTATAATCTGTTTATTTAGCAAATTTACAGGATTTATTTGGAGCTTCAACGTTAAATTATTGATTGTTGCTGGCCAAGACAACTTTTCATATTTAGTAGATATCTTATTATAGGCCGCTGACAGTGAGTTAATATTAGTTTCATCCTGACGTTCCTAGTTGCGCAATTACATCCAAGGTTTCACTAGTCCGCCGGTTCACTTGTCCGCGGTTTACTAGTCCACCGATATCTCTATTATTAGGGTTAGGGTTAGGGTTGGGTTAGGTTTAACATTTCTTATAGCGGCGAACTAGTGCACCCGCGGACTAGTGAACCCCGCTCGAATTAAGTGGTTGGTTCAAAATGGATTTGCACATTATTCGTTACGCGAGAGCTTGTTCCTTTTATTCTGATTTTTTAAGTAGATCGAGGCACATGTCATCTAAGCTTCAACTACAAGGATACTTGCGCACTAAACTTATTAAAACCTTTAAAAAGTTTT